TGTGTAAGTATAAAGTGTAACATAATCGATACTCTTAAGTTAAGAATAATGTAATTTTTCTACCATCAACTTCAATACTAACAGTATTTTCTGCAGTATTCATATTCTCTCTTTCACTCTAAATTTACATTTGTATTAGTAATTACACAAAATGTATTATTTTAACTACTGCTTGCTACTTACATCTCTTTCTCTATCATCTCCTATAGATTACTCTATCCTAGTAGTCATATTCTCATTCATGTATACTGCTCTCTCTCTATTATCATCGACAGATTGATCTGAACTATTATCTACAATCATGCTATTAGACAATTCCTCTTCATCATGAATTCCTAGGCTGAACAACATGTTAACTAGAGCTAATATGCTCCGTGATGCTTGTCCAAATACCAACTGGTAAGATGTTTATTTAGTAGCAGTACATACCTGTGTATTGATCACTTTTACAGTATAAAATCAGATATAAATTAAATAATGTCAAATAATATTAATGTCTATTACTTTACATTCTTACAGATCACAAAAGACAATCCTGTACTCCAATTGCTTCTTCTATTCTCCTCAAGCCATGAGAACAGCTTTATCTTCAGTATGTTATTTTCTTTTTTAATTAATCCCTGTGATTGGGGGTGGCGTAGTTTACCATTAATTATTTTTGTCGATAGTCAAAGTGCAATTATTTCTTTTATTATGAATATCATGAATTCTTTTTTATTATCAGTCTGTAAAATTATTAGTGTATCAAATTGCATGAAGATACTTAATAAAAAGTCTGTCACATATTTTGCTTCCTTATTAGTAAGTAAACAAGCTCATGAATATTAGGTAAAGTGATCTTTTACATGTGCAATCTACTTATAGTTCACATTTGGTCTTGTACACATATCTATTAGATCAATTTATAATAAAATGATATTATAAGATTTTTAATTAATTATTTAAGAGGAGATTAAATTAACTTTAGCAAATTATTATTATTACTTGTAGATATATCATAAATTCTAGTACAATTATAGGTCATATAGTGGATGGTATTAATAATTGACAGCAATTTATACATATATTACATATATTAATGAACTTTTGTATTATAATATGAGGTATGCAGCTATATTGAGCAATGATCTTTAGAAAGAATTTGCAGTTAATTGAGTAATAATAGATATTAATACTAATTTAACCATCTAACCTATAGCTTTATATGTTTTATGATAGCTTGTATGTTACAATTCTTGATATAATCAACTGATAATATTATACAAGTCATTTTTTAGACAAATAACTTTTAATAACTCTTTGTCTACTAGCTATATAGTATCATTTATTTCCAAAGTCAAGAAATGCTTATGTGACCAATAGCATAAGTTTCTATTACTTGTAGATTCTTTATTTAATAAAATTAACTTGGCTTTATCAGCAAGTTCTTGTGTAATTAAAGTCTTTGCTTAATAATTTGATGACAATGAAGCAATATATTCATCAAGAATATAGTTGAATATTTTAACAGAGACAAAATTGAATATGATTTTTAGTATAGCGTTAATTGAAATGTAATAAAGTTTAGCAAGTAACTTCAAAATTTAATATGACTATTGGCTATTATTTATAAACTTTTCTTTCTCATTTATTTGGTTAACATTTATCATCAATGAAAACAAGATACAAAAACAAGACATGAAAACAAAATATGAAAACAAGACATGAAAATAATCTACCAATATTGAAGTTGATGGTAGAAAAATTACATTATTCTTAACTTAAGAGTATCGATTATGTTACACTTTATACTTACACA